CAGGCGGGAGTCGAGCCCGCACCTCACGCTTTCCGGGCGAGTGCGCTATCCGTTACGACCACTCCTTGTTGTATAAGAGCTTACATTACCGGTTACCACTCTTGGTAATGGGCAAGTAATTTGAGTTCGGAAAAGAGTGACAGAACTTTCCCGCCAACCTAATATGTTCAGAGAGGGCAGATGTGCCCAAATCCATACTAAATCGAGTACTTCATATACTTGATCTACTTGCCCTGCTGGGCCGTAAACTCGGAAGAATTTTGAAAATTAAAGCTCTTATAGGGAGCGAAGCAAAAATTTTCGCGCCAACCGGATGCAAACCCGCATGCGTTTGACTTGAAAGCGAGACCGTTACCACGAGGCCACGGTGGCACTGCCGAGACATCGATCAGCAGCGCTTACGAGCCAAAACTGACTTTTCGCAAACTTTGACCACCCAGATCTCGTCTGGGAGGTCCCCGTAGCACTTTTAATCTGCATATTCGTAATCAGCATTCGAGGCTCTATCGATGTACCTAGGTCTCCATTCAAAGTTCCATGGGAAGTTCAAACCATTCCGTCAGGGACAAGGAGTGTAAGGTTGCGCGACATCGCGATCGCCGCGCATGCGGACGCTCAATAAGACTGTAAATTGAAACCAACTGTTATTTTCAAAAAAGTTGATTTAGCGTCACATCTCCAGAAGATGTGACCATAAAAAACAGTAAAAGGTGGATGATCGAGGAAAGAAGGAGAGGAAAGATAACAGAAGGTTAGATTAGAAAACAAGAGGAGAGGATTCTATTGTATTAGAAGTTCTCTCGGAAGAAATTACGTAGGAAGTTTTGACGCAGTGACGGAGGAAGAAGATGTTGCCGATTATGACAGAAGGATTCAGTGTTGAGTAGGAGATTCCCATTTTGAACTTGTTCTTGCCTAAAGTGTGACAAAATAAGAACGCAACCTAACGGCTCGTCCCACCTTCATTCGATTGCTCTTTCTTAAACTTCGTGTTGCGAGCAGGTGATTTAACCTTGCAAATAATTATACTTTGCTTTATATTCCCATCACTATTCTCGGAATCAACAAAACTGAACGTACTTTTGAAGCTACTGTAAAGGTCCTTCACAAAAGCTTCCCCTTATAGTTATTTTCCAAACTTCTGCTATCGGATCCTTTATCAGTTCTTCATTCATCCAGCCTATGCTATATCCCATTCATGGCCAGATCTTCAGTAGCACTATTTTCCAAATCAAGGGTATTAAAATAACAGTTGGTTCCAACCTACAATGTCCTGCTTTAGTGTTCGCGCGCGCGGCGATCGCGATGTCGCATGGCTCATTTAATGGCAGACTTATCTATCGGACTTCGGGGTAGAAGTGTACAAGACGCTAACAGCATTTAGCGCGGGGTAGATTAAACCACTCTTGCCTGTTTAGGACTAGGTTCCTCTGTGAATATTCTTTATCGCTGTTCAGAACGGAATATTGATGAAAATTTTTGTCACGACGTTTGTCAAGAGTGAAAGCAATTGAAAGAAAGCTGAATTCCCTCCAAACAGGAGGACAGAAGAACCAGTCAAAACTATCACCTTACTACATAATGTCGCGAAAACACCGCGATTCCGCGATCAGAGGTCGCGGATCAAATCAGGCGCGGATCAAATCCTCGCGATCGCGCGGGAGCGCGCCAAAACGGGCTATAAATAGCGGGAGCAGTCCAGCCGCTCTCAGTTTGCACTTTCTTCCTTTGCTCCGCTTCTCTCCTAGAAATCTATTATTGATCTTTCTGCGAATTCGCGACATTGATACCAGAAACTCTCGAGATCTCTTGACTCCCTGGTGGTATCCTCTTATGGCGATTATGCGAGTTCTGTTAACAAGATTTCATTTGCGTGTACATCTATTGTTGTTCTTTCTCTGTGCTATCTTGAACTTGATCCTTATGGTTTTCGTTACTCTTCGTCGTTTATGCTTTCTCGCAGTTATCTTATTCTTCGTTCTTCTCACTGGCTCTCTCTTCATGTCATTGGCTGTTGTGTTTTTAAGCTCATTTACGGCCCTCTGCCGACTTAATCACGTTTTTTCCGGTCTTTGAAGTGCTCTGGAACCGTTTTACAGACCTTTTTGTCTGGCTCCGCCCACCTCGGAGCAGGCTCCGCCCACAATGTTTTTGCCCCACAATCCTCACCGGCGACCCTCTGCTGACCTTAATCCACTTTTTTCCGGTGTCTGGAGTGTTCTGGAACCGAGCTACAAACTTTTAAAATGAATACCCTGCGATTTAGGGCAAGCTCCGCCCACTGTGGGCGGGTCTCAACACACTTTGAGCGTGCCCTATATTCGCCAGATATTTACATTCTACACTGAGTTTTTGCGACTTCCAAACACTCTCGCGAACCGGGTTACTGAATTTTGCGAGCACCGCCCACCTTGAGTACGCCCCGCCCATTTTGGATGTGTCTGCCACAGTTAGTCTGGCGACTCCTTACTAACCTTATTCCCTTTTTTCCCCATCTTTAAGCTGCTCCGGAAGCGAATTATGAATTATTTTTCTGCGGAACCCCAAAGTTTCGGCGAGTGCCCCGTCCACTGTGGGCGGGGCTTCCCATAAGTCAGTGTGCTTTTTATTTCTTGTCCCATGCCCACCCATCCCCACCTTGACCCGACCTCTCCAAGTCCTTATTCAGGTCGAACCGAATTTTCGGACAGACAACAACCAAACAAACAAACTTTCGAACAACAAACTTACAACAAACCAATAAAAACAGACGAGGCGAATTATATATGGGGTGATTGCTTTGTAATCGTGCATTAAAGTTTAATTACTCACTGTTTTGTTATGATAACTGCTGTTTAACGCAGCAGTACGCGTTCCGAATGTTATCACAAGAATGCTGAGTTGTGGGCAAAAGTCGTGCCCCAGGCGGGAGTCGAACCCGCACCTCACGCTTTCCGGGCGAGTGCGCTATCCGTTACGCCACCAGGGCCGCTTTTACCCTCTCAGCTTAACGGCTTTTATGCCGTAGCCTATCAGCACTCACACGTTTAACTTGGTGAGCCGGTCAGCCGTAATCGATGGCGCTAATCGGTATGAAACCGAGCTTAAGGTCTTAGATGCTTTTTGAAGCTGTTTTGTTATGTATAACTGCCTGCTTTAACGCCGCAGTACGCGTTCCGAATGTTATCACAAGAATGCTGAGTTGTGGGCAAAAGTCGTGCCCCAGGCGGGAGTCGAACCCGCACCTCACGCTTTCCGGGCGAGTGCGCTATCCGTTTTAATTACTCAAGTTTGAGGTGCTGTCTTGAAATAGAAGGAACAAAAGCGGGATTACAACAGCCTACCTTAGCCCGAGATACACCTCAAATAGAGATACCTTGTGCGAAAGTGGAACTACCGGCAATACCGATCCCCACTTTCTCAGGGAAAATCGGAGACTTCGAGAATTTTTGGGCGCTCTTTTGCGCAAATGTCCACAATCAAAGGCTCTCAAATCTACAGAAGTTCAACTACCTTCTACAGAGCCTTAAAGGCGAAGCACGAGAAGTGGTTAGAAGATACCCAGTCACGGAAGAGAACTACGAAGAAGCCATCAAGGCTATAAAAGCAAAATTTGGCGACAAATCGAAGCTAGTAAATCATTTGCAGGGGAGACTAGAAAGAGCAAGAGCAAGAGGTTCCAGCATAGAGGACCAGAGAAAGCTCTTAGATTATATCATATCACTATCCACTCAGTTGGAATATAAGGGAATCAATTTGAATGGTTCCTTCATTGGGCAGAAGATACTGTCCAAATTTCAAAGACCTTCAGAGAAAGGTACTCATGCAGCGCATAGGTGCGAATCAAGCGGAAGAAGATTGGTCAATGAGAACCCTTCTTACCGAACTAGATTCGATTATTGCGACTGAAGAAAAAATAAAGGGAATGCTCCAGAATAACGTGACATTCCAAAGCAAAAATAATGAAAGGAGTATGGGAAAAACCCAGCCAGTCTCCACCTGCACGCCAACATCAATGCCTTTATTGCAATTTGAGTAATCATTTCTCCCACGACTGTAGGAAGCTCATTAAAGGACAGAAGCGACTTCTTGATTAAAGAAAAAAGATGCCTAAATTGTGCAAGGGCTAACCACATTCTCAAAGACTGCACTAGCAAAGGGTGCAGCTCATGCGACGGAAAGAAACACCACTTTTCCATCTGTCCAAAGAGACAAAGTGAAAAGAATGGTAAAGCAACCACTTTCAACAAGAAGGGCTTACAACCAGGCCAGATGCATAACTCGAAAACGGCAAAAGAACCTCTCGAATGCCTCCTCGACACAGGAGCCGACAAGTCTTTCATAGATCAACAATTGGCCGATTAACTCGAACTCCCTACATTGGGTAAAATAGATCTATCAGTCTATACATTCGGATCGAAAACACCAAAGCGCCAAATGTATGAGACTACTAAACTGCGAATTTGGGATTTGCAAGGCAACCCTCATGAACTCTCCCTGTGTAAAACCAAGGTAATAACCGGGAAGAGAAAACAAGGCAGTCTTACTGAGGGAAGGTCGTCAGGTCGAAGTGGCCATTTGTAATGAGATGTAGCTCACTAGACGTGGTTTTGGACGCTGATCTCGAATCTGCCTTCGAAATTTGCAGAACGATTCTCTGAACGGAATTATGAAGGTTTGTTAGAATTAAAATGAAGGAAACAGAGTCGAGCGCGGTTGCCGGTCGTCTTGCTTCGCGGGCATGCTATGAAGGGTTCGGATTTCTGGAAGGAACTTGTTTTGCATTTTGTGGGGAATGTCTCTTTTAAGTCTAGAAAACACTCAAACGCCAAATGGGTGCCATATTCGTGTTCAGGGAGCAAAACTACCCTTGGGGACAGGTTTCTAGCCAGATGTGAGGTTTTGACCTAACTTTGAAAAGTGCGGTAGCAGTTGATCGAATGATGGTCACCAATAGTTCCAGGGCCAGTCTCTTGTCGATTGCTTGTCTTTGGACAGAATTTGCTTTTAGATACCAGGAAAACTGGAGCAGTAATAAAATGAATGCGTAAGAAGAGAGGAGACGAGGCTTGTGCAGGAGAATGTATCTGCAGCTGAATAGGTGTGAACATCAACTGAACCCATGGATGCTTCACTTTCCGAATTCGGGTCAAAATGCCAGATTTGGCTAGAAACCTCTACCTAGGCGGAGTTCGCCCCGATAAACTCGAACATGGCACTCGCTCAGCGCGAAAACGCCTGCACTCCGCGCCAAGGGCACCTGTACATCTCCTAGATCATAAGGCACTAAGCGCGCCAGTAAGCGAACGCAAACTGTTTTTCAGGCAAGTCAAGGAGAGCGCTAATGTAGAAGCGACGCCACAACCACTTTTTGCCACGTTTGCGCAAGGAAGCAAAAAAGTTAAGCTCAGCAGGGATCCGATCCCACGACCTGTTGCGTGGTAAACGCGGTAAAAGCTCCATAACTCCGTTCAGAGAATCGTTCTGCAAATTTCAAAGGCAGATTCGAGATCAGCGTCCAAAACCACGTCTAGTGAGCTACATCTCATTACAAATGGCCACTTCGACCTGACGACCTTCCCTAGTGAGCAAGATGCTCTTTATCTACGAGAGAAGAAAATTCTCCTTTCAAAATCAAAGTGTGGCACTGTCAGTCCTAAAGTCCTCATAGGCTGTGACCACCTTTGGCCCCTGTTGAACTCTCCAAGTCCACAACATATCCTTCCATCAGGTCTTCACGCGATTCCGTCACTCTTGGGATATCTGCTGAGTGGACCTCAATACAGTAAGAAGGATAAACTTCTACAAAAAGACTGTACAGCTGATACAAGAATCAGCACGTTGGAAGCTGATGAGGTAGAGCAGTGGGATCGTTATTGGTCCTTAGATTCTTCTGGTATTGAAGAGTTCACTGGAGCAAGATATAGTGAAAAACTGCAAGTCAACGCGAAAGTGCGACAGTTTTTCAATGAGACTATAGAAAAAAGGGAAGACGGATACTACGTTCGTCTGCCATTCAAGGAAGACAAACGTTCATTACCGTCAAATAAAACATTAGCATATCGCCGTCTTCTCAGTGTTCTGAACACCTTGGAAGCTAACCCTGAACTCCTTCGACAATACGATGCGATCTTTCAAGAACAACTTCACAAAGGTATCATCGAAGAGGTGAAGGATCCAGAAAAGGGAAACTTACAAATGGTTCATTATCTCCCGCATCAACCAGTAATAACACCATTGAAGGAGACTACGAAACTAAGAATTGTATATGACGCCTCATCTCATCTCAAAGGATGTCCATCACTCAATGACCTGCTCCATCAAGGTCCTTTAATTCTCCCTGAGCTCTTCGGGATGCTCTTGAGGTTCCGGATAAAGCCATACGTTGCGATCTCCGACGTAGAAAAGGCTTTTCTACAAGTGCGAAACGAATGCGACAGAGACATGACCGGGTGTCTGTGGATAAGAGATCTAGCGAAGGGTCCCAAACCGGCCAATATTGTTAGATACCGATTCACCAGGGTCACATTCGGTTTGAATGTCTCTCCATTCTTGCTAGCTGCTACCATCCAGTACCATATTGAAAACGAAGTGAAGGATCCCGTTCTGGATACAGAAATCAGCGAGAATCCATACGTCGGCAACCTCATTCTCGCGGGAGATAGCACTGATGAGATTTTGAACAAATCTCTCACAGCAAGAAGTATTTTCCAGCAAATGAACATGAATTTACGCGAATTTCTAACGAACGATCTCAGCGTGCAAGAACGATTTCAACCCGAAATACGAACGACGACAAACAAAAAGTACTGGACTTGTCTAAGGCTCGCAGACAAGTCCAAGTACTTACAAGAACAAGATACACATCTGTAAAATGCAGGATCCCGGATGCTCCGAAAATCACTAAGCGAGTCGTTGCTCAACAAATCTCTCCATTTACGATCCGCTAGGATGGATGGTCCCCCTTCTAATCCCACATAAACTTTTCCAACAGAACCTATGGTTGGACGGTTATGAGTGGACCAAGAACTGTTGCAAACCTTAAGCGACTCGTGGAAAATTCTGCAAAGAACTTTCGATATAGCTGCTTTTGCTGATGCGAGTGAGAATGCAATGGCAGCATGTGCTTACGCCTTTGGCGATGGAAAATCCTCATTGCTGATGGCAAAATCAAAACTGCCGTCCATAAATCTAAAATGACAATACCAAAGTTAGAAATGAACGCCGTGACAATGGCTACAAGACTAGCACGATCCGTCTGCAAAGCATTGCATCAGTCTACTGGACCCATCAAAAACGTGTTCATTTTCACGGATTCTCAAATTGTACTCAGTTGGCTAGAAAGCTCACCCGGAAAATCCGATCGGAGGAGTTCTAATTCGTAACCGAATCAGAGAGATTCGAGAAATAATATCTGCCTTGGACGAAATAGGAACGACAGTACATTACGGTTATGTACCAACAACAACCAACCCTGCAGACGCAGGCACTAGAGGACTCTCCAAAGATCAGCTAGAAGCAAGCTGTGATGGATTGGACCAGAATTTTTGTTGCGACACGCTTCTACCTGGCAATCATCACTCTTCCGACTAACAAATCCTAACACTATAGATCAAACTATGGACATGACAGGTTCCATATCAGCCCCTACAGCAGAAAGTGAGGGCATTGAACAATTCCCTCTACATCGGTACCTTTACAAATTAACGAGCTTATGATGGGCATGGAACTCTCATGAATTTCTGGAAAAATCTTTACTTCGACACAACTATCCATGGCATGTAGCCCACGAAGACGCATCTAAAACCAAATCCAGAACTACGGCCAATCACCTGGGAGCGTCGGGCCTTCCCGTGAACGGATAGTGAAATTCGGTTGTGCTAACATGCTTTAATAAAAACATAACAGTATCGCTTATTTAGAATACCTAAGTCATGAACAGCGAACCCTCTATTTTGTGTAACCGAGACGCCGAAAGGTTATGGAGAGCTTCGTGGACGTTTGGAGAAATACATCTCTGAATGAAATGGCGCATATTCAATTTCCAAAGCCGATTTGGGTCTGAAATCATAAATGAGGCCCATGGCCAATTTCATCAGGGAGTGGCCCATATTATGGCTACACTTCGAGAGAGAATTACTGGATACCGAAACTGCGACAACAGGCAAGAAAAGCCGCGCAACTCAATGCGTAATGGTTAGACGACGCTTGCAATGCGTCAGCCATTCTGCTGCTCCGGAATACGCCCTGTCCGCTCTCACACGTGTCAGGAATCAAGCATTGCAAACAACTTGTGGCATCGATTTTCTTCACATCTTGCCACTGCGGTAAGAGACTCCGGAGAGAACTAACATACGGCTGCATATTCACATGCGGAGTCACGAGAATGGTTCACCTAGGAGTTTTGCAAAGCATGTGTACGGAAGCTTTTCTCAATGCCTTGCGAAGATTCCTCTCCAGACAAGGTATGTAGTAGGAACCTGTGATCGGGCCCAAAGGTTTTTTTTCACCCTTCTTGAATAACATGTGATAATGCACCAACTTTTCTCTTGGATGCAGACATTTTACGAAGTGCGACACACGAAAGCCTTTCTCAGTTTCTGGCGAAAAACGCGATAGAATGGAGACATATAACTCCTTACGCGCCATGGCAAGGAGGTTTCTACGAAAGATTGATAAAATCCGTCAAACATGCGCTTTACAAATCTATTGGGAGAGCAAGACTCTCATTTGATAATCTTCGAACTATTATTACAGAAGTTGAAGCTACTATCAATACACGCCCATTAACCTACCAGGAGTCGGACTACGAAGAATTTAGCTCCTTGAGACCGATTGATTTTGTTCAAAACCGTATTAATCTCACTTTTCCACTCGAAGATATAGAGGACAACACTTCTGATCCAGATTACCTGCCCACCAATGAACTATCATCATTGGAAACTCGGCAACAGGCAGTAAGTGCTCTTCATTCATCCATTCAATTTACAAATCGGTTTTGGACGATTTGGCGAGAGCAATACTTAACAAGTTTGCGAGAACAACATAAAGTGAAAATATCTCAAGGCCGTTCTAACTCTTCAGAACCCAAGAAAGGATCACTTGTCCTATATTGCCACGAAATGAGTGGAAGCTGGCACGCATAACTGGCCTCAAACCATCGTTGGATGGGGCAGTTAGGGAAGTGGAGCTACTCACTTCTGGTAGACGAAGAATCAGAAGACCTATTAACCTCATCGTACCCATGGAGACAAGATTTGATTGCGAAGAAGCGAAAATCATAGACCTTCAGAAGATCCGTATAATTTACGTCCTCGTAAGAAAGTCACCTATAGCGATATGATTGCGAT